CATAGATAGGAATCTTGTAACTCATAGTTGATAGGCTTGTTGAGTTTCATTTTTATTTTGATATAATAGCAGGACCGCGGATTGGAGCCTCAACGGAATCTTACTCGACTCCTCAACTCATCATTCCACCATTCTCCTTGAACTACACGTGACCTGATTCCCCTATAACCCGGGATATGTAGGCTGTCCAAAACCGGGACTCGGTTGCACCCTGTCTTTTATTTCTTTTCCTTTTGAATAACGGTTTGGTCAAAAATTAGTTACATGGCTTACTTAGTCTTTTCCTGAAAACTCTTCATGTTTTCAAGCAAAGAGGGACAGCTGTGAGCACCTAATTTTTGACTATATTTGAATTTTTATCACTTTATACTATGTAAATATGTTTAAAAATTTANATATCTTTATTTTTAAATAAAATAAATCTTTAAAAAAAACTAAAAAAATTAAAAAAACAAATTTGGATGGGAATAAAATAATAGAAAAATTAAAAGTATGGAATAAAAAAGTAAAAGTAAAAGTCGGTGGAAATTGTTTTTTTAAAAAAGTAAAAGAAAGTGGAAAATTAAAAAAAATTAAAAGTAAAAGAATGTGGAAATTTAAAAAATGAAAAGTAAAAAAACTTTGGAATTAAAAAATAAAAGTAAAGGTAGATGAATTTTTTTTAAAAAAAAAGTAAAAGAAAGTAAAAAATTAAAAAAAGAAAAGTAAGATAAGTGGAAATTTAAAAAAAATAAAAAAAAAGTAAAATAAGTGAAAAATAAAAAAAAAGTTAAAAAAGTGAAAAATTAAAATATAAAAGTAAAGGAAAGGGGGGAATTTTTTTTTAAAAAAAAAAAGTGGAAAATGAAAATTCTTTTTAAGTAAAAAAAATAAAGTAAAAAATAAAAAAATCTGAAAAAAATTTCGATTTTATTTTCTATAAATAGAAGAGAAATGTGAGGAGAAAAGGAAAGAAGGAAAAAATAGAGGAGAGAATTGAGAAAAAAAAAATTCTTCTGCGCTAAGGAAATTTCTACTCGTTTCATTCTTTCTTTCGAAAATTCAAGTAATTCATCACCCTATTTAAGATCCAAAAATGCCTCAAATTCAAGCCTAAAAACATCTTGTGAAGCTTCATTGATAGTAATCTCTCTCACGCCAAAAACCAGCAGCCTCACGAGGTACAGTCGAGTTTCGATCCGGGCTCGAATTTTAGAAGGTTTGTTGCTAGATTTTCTGCTCATCTGCCGATTCGTCCTTGGTTTGGTGTACATGCTCGGCTCAGAATTATTTTTGCATTAATCAAGTTCTGAAGGAAATTTTTTGCTTAAAGGTTCATTGCTTATCCTCCCTTTGTTAATTATTTCATTGTTTTGTCTGATGTTCTAATAGAGGTTCATGTGATAATTTTTTGTGTTGTTTTATTTATACACATTATCATGTTGTAGTTTCTTTTTACATGTTTCAAGCGATTTATCAACAGATTATTTTAATAGGATTTCATCTTAATGAGATTTGCTATTTAGAATTAAGAATGAAGATCTTGCCATATTAATGGCCCATGCGTTGGAGTTCAAGTAAGTGAACCAGAAATGAGTTATCACTTTTAATAGGAAAGAAAGAATTAGACATGGGTTGGATTGAGTATAAATCTGTCAGGCCCAATAATTTTGTCACTAGACTAATAAAATTGTTCATTCTTCCATAATGGATAAATGTCTCCTAATTTCAAAGATATAGTAGTAAGTTGTAAATATTTCTAGGTGTGGATGTCTTTTCAATACTTTAAATAACTAATATATTTTCTGACTTCCAAATAATTTTCTATCCATAAACTTTTGGTCTTACAATAATTTCAAATTAGTTTAGGAAAATAATACAAGTGCGCGTTCACGTGACTTGACCAATCAACTTCGAATAATAATAAATGTGTTATTGATTGTGTACACGTACGCGTGACATGATTTTTGACGCCAAACAAAAATGAGTACACGCACGCGTGACTTATTTCAAGATAATTTTCATAAATCTAATCAAGTAATAAAAGCGGACATAGGTAAAACATGAGAACCAATAAAATACAGGTTATCTAAAAATAATATAAGCCAAATGTAGTCAATAAAGCGACCATGCTAGAACCACGGGATTGGAAAAATACCTTGCACCTTCTCCCCGGTCAACAGAATTTCTTATCCAAACTTTATTTTTGCAGACCAATAATAATAAAGTCAAACCTTCCTTTGACTAGGGACTCAAATAAATGGTGACTTGGAACACCCAAAAAATCAATTCCAAGTGATGACTCTGTAAATAAAATAATTTCTACTCAAATTTGTCACTTTAATTGAAAAAACTCTTTAACCCACAACAATCCATAATACATATCTTTTGTGGGGAAAAAAAGGAGGTGTGACAACTGTTGGAAGCTGCTACAACATATTAATATTTAGTTGCCATAAATGATAATCAATAATTACTGCTATGGTTTTGTAATTTTTTATTAAATATTGCCTAGTTATATTTTTTCCCAAAAAAATTACATCATATATCACTTGGGCCATACAACCCATACGAAAATAGCCCACATTTGAAGCCCTAACCTGGTTTGGCCCAGATTGTATATGTTTTGAAATTTTGTTTTCACCCGGTAGCCCACAAATATTATTAACGGTATTTTAGTTTTCTTTTTCATTTTTACTCTTTCTCTCTCTATTCTTCTCACGCTTTTTTCACAGAAGTACGAAGGCAACCGTCCTCTATTGTTGCGTCTCAAGTGATTTTTCGAGCTTTCACTCTTATTTTCAGTTAATTTCCATTTCATTTTATATTTTTACCACTGTTTTGGTTTTAATTTTTGTTTTATTTTTAATTTTTTGGCTTTTCTGATTTTGAATGTTTTTGTTTTACAATGTTGTTTTATTTTCCTTTCAATTTTATGTTCCTTCTATCTTTGTTTTGGGCCTAAACTTGGTGTTTCAGTTTGCATGCTTTATTATTTTGACTTTTAGAGCATAATTTATTTTTTGACTTTTGTTCCAATTTGGGGAAATTGGCTTCTGTTTTGTGTTCATGGCCTTTATTTTTTGTTTGATTTTTGTGTTTTCCTTCACTTGTCTTCACTTTTGTTAAAGCTTTATTTGTTTTATTGTAGAAAATATGTTCGTAAATGTCTGCTTCTAAATGTCGTATGAAGGTTGCTGGAAAAGGTGTTATGCTCGATTTTGTGAAAACATTGAGAAACTTGTCCTCAACCCCTGATTCTGAAGCGAATGGGCATGTCCAGGCCCCCGATGATGATGATTTTGAGTCTCCTTCTCCTTGAAAAAGTAGCAGCAAGAGAGCAGTCGAATGACTCGTTCGCAATCGAAGAATACTCCTACTCCACTTAACAATGTTAGAATAAGGAGTAAGAAATGTGAGAGACATGAAAAATCCAAAGAAAAGCTGAAATTTGATTTGGTTGATGAAGATGATGTAGGCCCCAGTGTTAAACCGAAAAAGAGAAAGATCGAGGAAGTTAGACAAAAAATAGTAAGATCAAGGATGGTTAGAGTGGTCTTGATTGCATATCCAAAGAACAAAGGATTGCTACTCGCCATTCTGATGCTATGCAGATTAATCTGATTAATAATATGCCAAAACAGATCAAATGGTAGGTTAATCTCAATTGTTTTACTATTTTACTATTTGTGTACCTATTTATAGTAAAGTACAGAGAATCTAATTTTTTTTTTAATTACAGTGATTGTGATGCTTTTGTTGCTGGCTTTGCTGAGTATTTCATCCTGGGTAAGGAAATCCGAAAAGATCATTTTGACATTGAGACACTTCGTACCAGGTGAGGATCTCTGTTGTGGGATTATGGAAGGAAAAAATAACAGTCAGGTACAATTAGCGGTGATGAAATCACAGGGAGACTTTTCAGGAAGAGGAAGAAGGGACGACCGAGAAAGTAGTTCTGTTTTTTTTTTTATTTTAATGTGGATGACTTTATTTTTGTGTAGTTTGTGATAGTCATTACACATTGTGGTTGTGAATGAATTATATTTTAATGAATATTTCAGTTGCTTTTTTCTTTAACAAAGTATGTATTTTCATTATTGTTGCAGTTTTGTCAATGTTGCAGGGTTTATACATATGTATACAACAATATACATAGTTATACAATTTTATACAAACTTATACTCTCATTTATATATCTGTATACATATAATGACACTGATTGTTTGCAGTTCTATTTTGCATTTGTACAATCTATCAATATATTTAGCAACATTAAAAATAGTAACATACTATTATTGGATAATCAAAACATGTATAATGAAACATATTTAACAATAATTGCAACATGTGGTGTAAATTATAATTCTTTATTGACATTTGTAACTCAATTGTTTGTGAAACTTAACTATTCAACATGGCAACATATGTAATAGGAAGTGTTATGTTTCCAACTATTTATTTTGGTTGATTCCTACATGTTTTTCTATTGTGACCACGTTGTCCATACATAGAACATGAAAACTCCTCTTATACTCTTTCTCTGAAGCCGGTTTGATTCTTTCCTTTCTTGGCCTTCCAGCATTTCTTCTCCCTTTTGGTGGTAGGACCACATCTTCCAGCACCTCTGTTAGGATTACCCATAAACTCTCATCTAGCATCGGATTCACTGAAAATTCATAAGTTTGGAGGTTATCCTTCTTGAAGTAAAAAGAGCAATATTGGCCAGGTTTCAGCTGTTGGTTCTTCAAAACAGCCCAAGCATGCGGACATGAAAGTTCATCCATTTGAAATCTACCGCAACTGTATGTTCCCTCTTCAAGGCACACTATGTTTCACCTTACCCCTTCAAGCACAGTATATAACTGCTCCGTAGCCGGCCTCACCTGCAAAAGTTTTTTTTTTTAAAAAGTTAAAAGCACATTATATAGTATTGTACAGAATTATATATCCTTATACAAACAGTAAAATGCAAGTCAGAAGTGCCATGCATCATTATAGTTAATTCGTTTTACCGTCATTTACTCCGATGCAATCAGATTTTCCCGAAGGAGTTTGTCGTACTTTTTGCCAAGCTCTGTAGATGTCTCCATTGTATTTGTTCTATTTTCGTTGTTCCACTGTTGTAGAAAATTTGTCATGTACTCCAGCAATTGCATTATTGGTAGCTCTCTAGCATCTTTGTTTGCTGCATTAATTGACTCTGCAATATTGGAAGTCATTACAATCGACCTTTTCACTTTGGAGTATGCCCTAGACCACCTTTTGTAGCCAATTTCGAACAAGTAAGGCTGCACCCTCAGATCAATTTTGCACATCTCTGTCACATGGTAGTAAAACTTATCTATCGTGTAAGCTCTAGCCAAAGCGAAAAAGATATCCTTCAATTGTTTGTGATGTTTCTTGAATGTGCGCTTGACATTCTTCCACAAGTGAATATACAAATACAATGTGGAACTTCTGGGTATACAACTTTTGTGGCATTGAAGATACTTGTAACGATCCGACCGGTCATTTTAAGATTTAGCACATCGTTCAGCGGTTTGAGGCCCTGAGCAGCTTCACTTCAGGTATTATGACTTGTACGCGTGGTCGGAATTTAATTTCGGAAAGTTCGGAGTTGATTTGGAAAGAAAATTCTAATTTCAGAAGCCTTAAGTTGGAGGAATTTACTAAAGTATAATTTTTGAGTAAACGACCTCGGAATAGGGATTTAAAGGTTCCAACAAGTTCTTATGATGATTTTAGACTTGAGCGTATGTCCGGATCGGATTTTGGATGACCTGGGAGCGTTTCGGCGCATATTATGGAAGTTGGCATTTTGGAAGAATTTTATAAATTTGAGTTGAAGTGCATTTCAATGTTATCGATGACCGTTTGGGATTCCGACCCTGGGAATAGCTCCGTATGATAATTCTGGTATTGGGAGCGTGTCCGGATGTGTATTTGGAAGTTTGTAGGTCATTTTGAGGTCATTTGGCGAAAGTTGAAATTTGGATGATTTTTGAGAAGTTTGACCGAGAGTGGACTTTTTGATATCGAGGTCGGATTCTGATTCCGGAAGTTGGAATAGGTCCGTAATGCCAATTATGACTTGTCTACAAGATTTGAGGTCAATCGGACGTGATTTGATAGGTTTCGGCATCGATTGTAGGAGTTTGAAGTTCTAAAGTTCATTAAGTTTAAATTGGAGGGTGATTCATGTTTTTAGCATTTTTGATGTGATTTGAAGGCTCGACTAAGTTCGTAATGTACTTTGGTACATGTTGGTATATTTGGTTAAGGTTCCGGGGGGCTGTGTGGGTCCCGGATGGTTAACGGAGCAAGTTTTGGACTTAAGGAATGGCTGAAGTGCACCAGTTCTTGTGTAATCGCACCTGCACAAGTTTGACCGCATGTGCGTGACCGGAGAAGCGAGGAAATGGTCGCATGTGCGGTTTGGGCGAAGTTGGGCAGTGATCGCAGGTGCGAAGGGTTGTCCGCACCTGCGAGCTCGCAGGTGCGAGATTGAGAGAAAAGTCTGGGAGAGCAGGTGCGAGGGAATGTCCGCACTGCGAAGGCGCAGATGCGGAAGGAAGGGCGCAGAAGCGGATGCCGGCAGCTGGGGGAATCTCCGCAGAAGCAGAATATGTGCCGCACCTGCAGAGCCGCAGAAGCGGCTATTTGACCGCAAGTGCGAAAGTCGGGCTGGGCAGAATGCTTTTACAGCGGGTTTGGGTTCATTTCACCCATTTTTCATTTGGTTGGGCGATTTTTGGAGCTCTTGGAAGGGAGATTTTTGTCATCTATGTCAAGGTAAGTGATTCCCACCTATTGCAAGTTCAATACTTGGATTATATAAGGATTTAGACTTGAAAATTTGTAGAGATTTGGTATTTTGAAGAAAAACCTAGAAATTGATATTTTTGGATTTTGACCACGAATTTGGGCATGGAATTGAGAATAAATTATATATTTGGGTTCGTAGTTCTATGGGTAGTGTTTGTCTTCAAAAAGTTTTAGAATACGGGCGCATGGGACCGAGGATTGCTTCATCGATTTTTGAGTGAAGTTGGAAATTGTTGTAAATTGAATTATAATGAGTATTGGAGTATATATTTATGATTTTGCACATTTATTGACTAGTTTGGGAGCGACGGGTATCGGTTTGACTTGTTGGAAAGGCTTTGGAACCGGTTATGGAATTTCAGAGCGAGGTAAGTCTCCTTTCAAACCTTGTAAGAGGGAATTAACCCCATAAGTGAATTGATTAAATATGTCATTCTACTTGCGGGGGCTACGTACGCATAGGTGACGAGAGTCCATGCGTAGCTACTAATTATGCCTATGCCCGGGTAGTTTAAGGTTTACATCATGCCTTGTTAATACTGTTATTTGACTATATTTATTATTTGTCTTGAAAAGAACTGAGATCGAGTATGCTTATTAAATGCCTTGAAAAGAGTTGAAATTGAGGATTTCGAGACTTGAAAGTTTTTATTTGATTTCGTATTTTTGAAAAAAAAAGAATTTAAGAAATATTATAATAACTTAAGAAAATCTATGTGCAACCGCGTCGCAAATATATTTTGCGAGCGGGGTAAATTTTTACTACTCTCATGGGAGCGAGTTGTTCGCCTCGGCAGGTTTATATTTATATGTTGGTTCGCGTCGTTCGTCCCTCGGCAGTGCACAGTTATATTTATATGTTGGTTCGCGTCGTTCGACCTTCGGCAGTGCACAGTTTATATTTATATATTGGATCGGGTCGTACGACCTCGACATAACTTGCGCATGATAACTCCTTGAAACTAATAATAATTGATGTTGCTTTATTGGCTGGAGATATAAATTGTTAAATGATAAAAATAAATTTGGGAAATTTCTTATTAACAAAAGATTTGTTTACTTATTTCACGATATTGAGCTTACAGCCGTTCTATGTAATCCATACTTAATTATATTATTGGTATTTTATTTATAGCCCATAGTAAGTGTCCGAGTCGACCTCTCGTCACTACTTCTTCGAGGTTAGGCGGGATACTTACTGGGTACGCGTTGATTTACATACTCTTACTACACTTGCTGCACATATATATATATATATATATATG